ACTACTACTACCTACCTCTCTCTCTCTCTCTCTCTCTCTCTCTCTCTCTCTCTCTCTCTCTCTCTCTCTACGGACGTAAGAGTCAGCTTGTTTTAGGTGTAGGTTTAAAGGTGTTTTTGAGCATGGGAGTGTGTTTTGGGAACCCTTTCCTTTTACTCATGGGTTTCAGTTAAAGTAGGAGGTGGTGCTGTATGTTGTCTTCTAAAGAAGGTTTTATACAGATCAGGAAGACACTCTCGATTTCTCCTTTTCCCAACTCCTCCCGTTTCTTATTTAACATCATCTTCTTTCTTTCTCCTCCTTTCCCTTCCTGAATTGGATTTCAAAGGCTTTTATTCTCTCATGAATTATCTTCTTTCTTTGTGAGTTTTGTCTGCTTTCTCTTCTTTGCATCTACTGATTCTTCCTGTTGTTCTTCCTATTCCCAATTAGTCGAATCGTTGTTGCCATATACGTACCAGTTTGCACAGGAATAAGCATGATGTGCTTGACATGCTTGGCCTTCCAATGACCATGTACAGGCGGTCAATTCCATGTGAGGGTCTCCGCGGACACATGAAGCTAAAATCTTGATGCCCATGAAGCAGCCATGAATACAAGTCCTATAGGTTCAGTCAGCAGTTCCAGTCTCATCGACGCCAAGCTCGAAGAACAACGTGTGGGTGTCTCCGAACAGTGCCCTAGGTGTGGCCACAAGCTCGATCGCAAACCGGTATCGACTGTGCGCTGATACTTTCTGTTCTGAATAGCAGCAACGATTGCTTCTTCCTTGGCCTATCGACGATCGCATGCAGGACTGGGTAGGGATGCCGGCAGGCGTGAAGTTTGATCCCACGGATCAAGAATTGATAGAGCACCTGGAAGCCAAGGTGAAGGCACAAGATCTGAGATCCCACCCTCTGATAGATGAGTTCATACCGACGATCGAGGGAGAAGATGGCATCTGCTACACCCATCCTGAGAAGCTCCCAGGTTAGAGAGGTTACACCCGGCCGGAACCCTATTCTGTCTCACATCTAGTATTATTTTATGCGGTTCTCACTTGTAAGAACCGCAAAAGAAAGATTGATGTGGTATATGTTCCATTACTGTTACCATATCTCTTCCCCCATGTGTTTGGGCATCCACAAGAAGAAGAAAAAGGAAACCTTTTCTAAATTCGGGTCCTTAATTCTCTCTCGGAACTTAATGCTTCTCTTTCATGATGCTATAAAGTTCGTAAGTTTGACCAACAACTCATGACTTGGTTGGTTGAGGTTGATCTGACAAGAAGATCTACCTCGGATTCTCAGCCTGCCGTGGTCAGACCTAACTTCACTGGCCTGTTTGGATTTGGCTTCAGGTGTGAGAAGGGATGGCCTGAGCAAGCACTTCTTCCACAGGCCATCCAAGGCCTACACCACGGGCACAAGGAAGAGGAGGAAGATCCAGTCTGAGTGTGACCTACACAGAGGCGAAACCAGGTGGCACAAGACAGGGAAGACAAGGCCTGTGATGGTCAACGGGAAGCAGAAGGGGTGCAAGAAGATACTCGTCCTGTACACCAACTTCGGAAAGCACAGGAAGCCTGAGAAGACCAACTGGGTCATGCACCAGTACCATCTGGGGGAGTTCGAGGATGAGAAGGAAGGTGAGCTTGTGGTGTCCAAGATATTCTACCAGACCCAGCCAAGGCAGTGCAACTGGTCATCTGATAGGAGCCCAGCAGCAGCAGCAGCAGCCGCCATGGAGGGGATGGACCAAAGAAGGGACGGTAGGAGTGGAAGCTCTTGTTCCAAAGCTGCTAGCAAGAGAGACGAGCATTCTTCCGGGGGTGGTGGAATCTCGGGGTACAGTAGCATGGAGATGCACCAGCACTTGAAGCCCGATAACTTTAGCTTTGCTCCATTTAGGGAAAGTTACAGTGAGGTAATTTCTCGAAACAAAGGTTTGATTCGGTTCTGCTAACTCATCACGTTCAGCAATTTGTGCCTCTAAGTGAATTCTGCATGCACATGAATGTTGCGTGTGTATGAATGCATGTTCAGATTAGATTCTTTCTGCATTCAAGTAGAAATGGCATAGAAAGGCTAGGAGTAGTCATAGAAAGCGTAAAGACCAAGGAAGGGCCATCTTAGCTATGCATATAATTATATTGGCACAATTGATGGTAGCTTCAATTGGTGCAACTTTCCCCACCCAGAAAAGAGAGAGAGAGAGAGAGAGAGAGAGAGAAGTAGGTTTAGG